GTTCTGGGAATTAATAAATGTATTAAAAGATTCAATCGTTAGTAAGGCTTGTGGTTTGCTGCGAGCGCAATTTTTACTTTGGTCTAATTATTTCTATACTAAAATATTAAAATAATATTCAAATGCTTTTATTTATGTAACTATATTTTATAACTAGTTGTCGCCCGGAATTCCGTCCGCTTGGAATTAAAAAAAAAATTGTAGCCTATTTGTTTTTCCAAGCGAAATTTCATTAAGATCCGTTGAGCCGTTAAACATACATCCTAACATTTGCATTTATAATATTAAGTTAGCTATGACTTCAATTTATTTCGCAATTTGCATGAAAAAAAAAAGTCAATTATCGTGATTGCCGCTATGTATGGAATTTGACGTGCCTCTGTTAATTTCTAGCTGTTATATCTATTTTCTTCAAATAGAATGTATTTACGACAATATGTTGCAACTGTTTTACAGTGTAGGTACGGTACGGTGTGATTCCGCAGCGTCTTATACGAAATTACGAGCCTCTATAAAGTTTGAATAGTAATGTACCGAATGAATTAATCATAAACGCCGGTTTGCCTAAGACGACCTGGTTTCAAATGAAAGGATATATCCATTGAATACGAAATATCCGCTTTCGTATATAATTGCCTTTTGTTATATATTAAAAACAAATAACTGAAATTTATTATTATAAGGAGTCCCTTTATACAAGGTTCCGAAGATACTGGCAGCGTTCCCCCTTTGAATAGCTGTACTAATTCTTCTAAGAGCGTCGGTGGTTCAGGGGTGAAGCACTTGACTTGCAATCTGCAGGTCCTGGGTTCGAATCCCGCCTTGTACTGTGTTTTTCCATTTCCGATTTACATATGTACATTTATATGACGTTCATACGGTGAAGGAAAACATCGTGATTCTGCACATATCTGAGAAGAAATTCAAAAAATATGTGTGAAGTCAACCAACCCGCATTGGGCCAGTGTGGTTGACTATGGCCTAGTCACCCTGTATTTAGAGGTAGGCTCCGAGCCCCTCAGTGCGGACGCATAGTGAGCTGACGATGACTAATTCTTTGTCCGATGTAGCTGCCAGCTCTTCGGTCTCCTGTGATGTCGAATATTTTTTGGATATTTCCTTAAAAAACCTTAAAGCGCTAGAACCTCACGGACCAAGGGACTTCTTTCAATAATGTATTTGAGTTAATTATTCGTTTTTAATATTTTATTTAATATCATAGATTTAAAACTCATTGCCTTTTGTTATAATTATAAAGAAACTAATTTAAAACGGCTACATTTACGCAGTACTGTGTTTGTAGCAGCCGTTGTACTCAATTTTGCAACTTTTCGCGAGAAGCAGTCAGTTGAATTCGCCAAAATTGTTATTGCCCATAGACATCTGCATTTGCAGATGCGTTGCCTACTTTTAATGGACAGATGAAGGGACTTACAGAGGACATTTCCCCTTCCTAAACGTCCCTTTTACCAAAATCGTGTGTTGCGTTTTGACAATGGTAACTCTGGTCCTGTTACTTCTATGTAGCTGGATATATGGATAGGTTATAAGCCGTAGTTTTTGTTCCTATTTGATTTCCTCCATTTTGGCGCAGACGTTAATTATTTGGTTGAAGTGTTGTAAACTCAAACTAATAATATAAGTAAATATCAGTAAATTTAACAGGTGAGTTTAAGTCGTTAAGTTAAAAAAATTCCATTCTAATTATATATTAAGTTATTATAGTGTTTTGACCTTTATTTACTTTGAACTTTGATGATTTTTTGTAAATTAACATATTTTATTTTCGTAACCATATATGACGACTTTACGAAGTTAACGTTTTTACTTAACAGAGTTTTTGTGGGTATTTATTTAAATAATTCTGCTATGATGTACATTAGTCTGACGGTTAAACTCAACATCTAACCATTATTAAGCTTATATTAAAACGGCTAAACACTCACGTATTTACGTCCGGTGGCGGCACCGATTAGTTTGGAGCCCGCCCTTCATCGGGTTGAGTGGTATTGGTATTCGCGTACGCGGCCCTCAGCTCACTCTCCCCGATGGGCTCGAAACTAGTCGGTGCCACCGGATGAATATACGTCAGTGTTTTAGCCGTTTTTATATAAGTTTATTATAATGTCTCACGGAAGTTTGAATAATTTAATAATCTAACCATTATTGTTTATCTTAAATTAACATTTTAAATGCTATTAAACGAAAATGTAATTTATCGAGTATGATTGATCCATTATTGTATTCTCTAGGAAAGTAATAAAAATAATCGAATCAATCTTGATGTTCGATAAAGATTTGCGGGTCGCAGGTCGTGAGCAAATCAAATAGAGTGGGTATGTTGTTCAGTTAGAGCAAGTGAACGAAATAACGCCATCTATGGGTTTTAAACTTTAACCCTTTATAAGTTACAGACGATATTTTCTCCATTATGATTTTTATTTTTTTACCAAAGAAGTTCGTACTGTGCATAGAACCTTTTTACAGTGATTTTCATAAAATATAAAATTAGATTTTTGTTATAAGTAAAAATATTTTTTTTGTAATTAATATTAACAGTTGATGTTTTTAAAGTTTTTTATTTGAAATACTATCAAAAATAAATTATTGTATATAAGTACAGTAATAGAATAAATCAGGCGCGTGAAGAGCATACAATTGAGAATAGAATCTGACCGGTGGAGGAAATATATTTCCCACAATAGAAATATATATACTAGCTGTTGCCCGCGACTCCGTCCGCGTGGATATAAAAATAAGTTAAATAAAAAGCACCTCTTCGAGGCATAAATTCGAAAAAGAATAAATAGTATCCTATGTCCGTCTCCTGGCTCTAAGCTACCTCCTCACCAATTTTCAGTCATATCGGTAAAGCCGTTCTTGAGTTATAAATAGTGTAACTAACACCACTTTCTTTTATACATGTTTTTACTTTTATTAATACCCTTAACCATTATCAATTTTATTCCACTGTCCACTCCTTATAACCGTTAAAGGGTTAAAACAAAACTGTTTATTTTGTATCTCGCGATCCGATCATTTCGTGATTCATGAATCAACTACATTGATCAGATCATTTGTGATCGATGCTTCTAATCAGGATTATATTTTAATATTTTATTTAGACAAAAAAAAAACATCAAAACATGTATTTAGTAGATAAGCTATAATCAATATGTAACGTTTATTCACGTATTGTTTACCTAATTAGTCATTATTAAAAACATTTAGCACAGATAAGATAAGAATAAGATTATGACTAGATCAGTATTAATCTTATTTCTTACTAAAATTATAAATGCGAATATATAGATTTTTTTTATATCATAAGGTGGCAAACGAGCCATCTGAAATCGCTGAAATAGCGAAGTGACCGTCGCCCATAGACATACGCAATTGCATATGCGTTGCCTACCTTTAATCGACGGAGAAGAGGATGCACAGAAAGAAAATATTTTCCCTTCCCGTGCATCCTCTCATCCGGAACGTCCACTTCCACTTCCCATCCTATCCTTATAAGGAAAAGGGTGGGAAGGGAAAGAGGACTAAATTAGGCCTCCGGGACGCACACTCATCAGACGAAACGCGGAATTGCTTCCACTTGACGCCTGTCTTCTGTATGGTCGTGGTATTTCACCGGGCGAGCCGGGACAATTCGTGCGAAGATGTTAAAGCGGGCTCTACCACTGTTAACTAATAATGTTTAATAGATGAATGTACTTAACGTATCGTGCGGAAATCCGGCATAATTGTATCATCTGCATATAATACAGTCAGGAAGAACACAGAGTCGCAGGAGAGTATTTAGAAAAAACCGGGAAATTTCTTTTCGGTATCAATAAATTGACTTATTGGTTTTTTATACAGACAATAAGATTATGTTTTATGCCAGTTGCCAGTGACATTATTTACACTAGCTGGCCGTTTAAATAATTACATTTGTAAAATCTCGTTTTGCCCCACACTTGTTGTTAAGCCGTTTTGGCGGGAGTGACGCGTCGAAGGTGAGATCACGCGATGGCGCGCCATGCTGTCGACCAATGGCGTCGCAGCGCGCGCTCGTACGGTCCTGTGTTCGCGAATTAAGCGATAGAAATTATTATTAAAAAAATCATAGATACATTATAGAAATTATGCTCTCTTATAAGATTTAATAGTAATCTTTTTTTTATTTTGTTTTGTTTTTTTTTATTTGGCTAATTGTAATTGTACTGATAATGAATTATAATCTATGACAGTCCATTGTATTTTAATCTATGACAATAATTAATTATTTTTTTATAGGTTATATGATAATTAGTTTTGTTTAATAGCAATTGTTTATGTGAATAACGAAAAAAAACTTGACATGAAGTGTTTTTTCTGTGATTTTCTTTCTACGTATGTAAAAAAAAACTTGCAAAAGATTGTTATTTTATCTATAGCCTCGATTTACTAGAATGCTTAACAATATTTTGATATCAGTTAATATGAATCTGACTATACCGGTATAAACGTGAATATTATAGAAGAAAAAAGTACGAGAAACTTTATTTTAAGATCACGATTCCTTATCAAAGTACGAGTATTTAGTTATTACTAATTAGAATCCTTTGACGCGAATGACGCGCTTTCGTTACAAAGTCTAATGTTAGAATGATTAGTGAGGGGACATAAACGTTGATATTTTAGTAAGGCTAGTGTTGCGACACACCGGCACTGTGTCGGATTTTCTTCCTAACAGTATTAAATGTAGACAGAAAAAAAGTCTTGAAAGTTAATATAGTTTTCGTAAAATTTTATATTTTTACGACAAAATATTCTCTTAGTAAGTAACCCATGTGTTCTTCCAGACTATGTTCTACATCTATGCCAAATTTTATCGATATCCGTTGAACCGATTTAGAGATACCTTCTAATATCCATCCATCTACACATCCAAACTTAACTTGCTATAATATTAGTAAAAGATAAAAGTAAAATTAGTATATTAGTAAGATTTATAGTATTTTTTTTTTCAGGTAACACCAAAGGCTATCACGGTCGAGACTGCCAACCCCAACACGAGCCGATCCGCGGTGATACAAGATGGCGTCCAAAGCCATTTACGAGGCGACCGGCAAAGACCTTATAACCAGGTGAGAGGTGAATATCACCGAGTCGGTAAAATCATTAAACAAAAGGTTTTCAAAAGAAAAAAGTAATAAAGCAAATTTAAAAAAAAAACGCAGTTTATTTATTTAAATAAGTAAATGACACTGCAAAAAAGAGTGTTGCCAGTCTGTAGATGTATATTCTAGTAAAAAAAAATTGTCTGTCTGTGTGAGGGGACATAAACGTTGACATTTTTGTAAGGCTAGTGTTGCGACACATCGGCACTGTGTTGGATTTTCTTCCTAACAATATAATCATTACTCTTTTGAGTGATTTGATAAAAATATATTGTTATAACTCAATAGTCAGTGGAAATATACGTAGTGACTGTCTTAAGGTGCGTTTCCACGGACATTTACTTCGCACTTCAGAGAGATTCCTTTGATGTAGCTATTGCAAAATTTACATCACTTTATCTAACCTACTTAGATAAAGTTTTTACATGTCAAGATTAAATTTATCATCGCTCTACCGGAAGAAAATCTAACCGTGGATTTCTGAGACTAAAGTCTCTTTATATCGTCATCTCTGTTGTTTTCAACAAAATAGAGTTGATATGTTTCTTTAATATGCTATCGACTATAATTTAGGGAACATACCCATACTATGTGACCAATTTTTACAGTTTTTTCGACCCCTCCCCCTCCTCGGTGACCACTCGTAGTACAAGCCAAGACCCCCCTCTCCCACAGGCAAAAATTAAAAAAAAAATTGGCTCATACTCTTCTTTTACACGAATACTTAAATTACTAGTGAATTATTTATTATGAAAAAGAACTAACGACTACGTGATAAAAACCTGCCCCCCCCAGCTCCTGTGACTGACCGTAGTATTTTAAAGACTCCGCTCCCCTCCCCGCCCTTAACGGGTCACGTAATATGGGTACGTTCCCTGATGAGCGCCTGTACAAAAACCGATAGAATAATCAATTGGCATAATAAACAAAGTGTTCCTATAAGGGTTCCGTTTTTTTCCTATGAGGTACGGAACCTTAGGGTCCTTCAAGAAGTGAGCCTATCACCACCTCAAAGGCCGGCAACGCATCTGCGGTGCGGATGTCCATGGGCGTCGTTGAACACCTGTGTGTTCCCGCTGCTCGTTTCCCCCCTTCTGTTATAAAAAAAAGCCTTAAAAATGTCAAAACTCTCCTCAAATCGTATTTTAATTTTTTGAAATGTCCCGTCCACGCATATGCGCGATTTTCAAGGTGGTATTAAGTTTTCAATATTTTAAATAATCTTTTCAGGCACATAGGGTCAGGTACTGCATTAGTACCATGTAGGTTCGCTGTCTTCGAGGAAAGCACCGTCTGGGAAGACGAAATCGGAAAAAATCCATGGCTCACCAAAGAGGTAATCAAATAATTAAATCAACCTCTTTACACACGTACTTGCGTATATAAAAAAACTTCTAGAATATGTTCTACATCTGTGCCAAATTTCATCAAGATACGTTTAGCCGTTCCGGAGATACCTTCTAATAAATATCCATCCATCTGAACATTCATAATATTAGTAAGATTATAAAATGGTTTTCAAGCGGCCGGTAAATAGCGAAGCAACCGCTGTCCATAGAGAACCACAATTGCAGGAGCGTTGCCTATCTTCAGTCCACGTCTCCTTCATCAAATCTTCTTCCCATCCTTTCCTTATAAGAAAAGGTTAGGAAGGGAAAGAGTCAAATTAGGCCTGCGGTACACTCATCAGATTGTACGCAGAATTGCTTCCACTTAGTCGATAAATCGATGTAATATTTAACTTTTTAACCATTCCAGTCTTTAGTGGTGAAGCCGGATCAATTGATAAAGCGTCGAGGCAAACTGGGTCTTGTCGGTGTCAACAAGAGTGCGGCTGATGTACGCCGCTGGTTGGCAGAGCATGCAGGCAAGGAACAACAAGTTGGCGCAGCTCTTGGCAAACTAAGGAGATTTGTTGTCGAACCATTTGTCAAACATGACGCGGTGAGTAACTTATGTTGGCTTACATGTGACCTACTTGCTACCAACCCGCACTGGGCCAGCATTGACTATGACCTAGTCACCATAACTTGGGGTAGACTATTACAGATGCTTTTAATAGCCAAAGAAAGGGACGCACAGAAAGAGGATGTATCCCCTTTCTATGCGTCCTACCACCGTAAAAATTTCCCCTTCCGTTCCTTCCAGCACATCCTCCAGCACATTTATCAAATATGAAATTGCTTTTTTTTATATCATAAGGAAGGAGAAATAGCGAAGCGACCGTTGTCCATAGACATACGCAATCGCGTATGCGTTGCCTACCTTTAATCGACGGAGGAGAGGATGCACAGACAGAAAATATTTTCCCTTTCCATGCATCCTCTCATCCGGAAAGTTCACTTCCACTTCCCATCCTTACCTTGTAAGACAAAGGGTAAGAAGGCAAAGAGGACTAAATTAGTCCTCCGGGACGCACACTCATCACACTGTACGCGGAATTGCTTCCACTTGACGCCTGTCTTCTGTGTGGTCGTGATATTTCACCGGGCGAGCCGGGACAATTCTTGCGAAGATGTTAAATCTCGCTCTACCACTGTTAAATACTTCTGTTACCTTGACGTCTGTATTTTTGTTTGTATGTTTCAGAACGAGGAAATGTACCTATGCATTCAGTCTGGCCGGCGATCTGACACCATCTTGTTCCATCACCAAGGAGGTGTAGATGTTGGAGATGTGGATGCACTGGCTCTTAGATTAGAGGTAATTATACCAATAGCTTAGTGGTTAAATACTGATATACAATATGATTGTCGGTTCGAATACAACCATTCGATTACTAGACTTATCATTAAGATTAGCTTAGTTTAATTTTTACAATGAATAATAGTACATTTTATAAAAATTTAAATATAAAAACAATTTAAAAACAAGTTTTATATAAAAGAGCGAATAAATTTAATTAAAAGAGAGAAATTGAACTTATTTAAAATAAGCGTCAATAGCCTAATGGTAAAGGGTACGGATTTCCGATCACGAGGTCGGGAGTTCGAATCCTGACATTCGACTATTGTCGTGAACCATATCCTAGCACAAGCATAGAGCTTAGTTGGAATGGTAAAAGAAATATTTATAAATTTACAAAAAAAAATCTTCTATAATATGTAAAAAAATAAATTAAAGAAGTTAAAATTAAAAAAAAAGATAAGCTTCTCGTAAAGACGATTCAAACGAGTCCAAACTCGATAGGGTTGTGTTATTGCATTGCGTAGTTCCTATGACCACCTTCCACTTCCATCATCAGATCACCGCCATGTCATCATAATATTGCAAAATTTCAACTCAATCAGTAATCGGGAAGTGGATTTAATTTGCAAGATATGATGACAAGGAGATTAATAATTTAGGAAACTCTGGTCTAGTTAAATAGACTTTATATGAAGTTATGAGTTCGAATTTATTCAACACTAGCTGTCGCCCGCGATTCCGTCCGCAGAGTATTAAAAAAAACTTTATAAGTTGTCTATGTGTTCTTCCAGACTATGTTCTATATGTATGCCAAATTTCATCAAGATCTGATCAGCCGTTCTAGAGATATCTTCCTTCAAACATCCATCCATCTAAACATTCCCATTTATGACATACTAGCTGTCGCCCGTGACTCCATTCGCGCAGAATTAAAAAAAATATTAGTAATCTATGTGTTCTTCCAGACTATATTCTATATGCATAACAAATTTCATCAAGATCCATGCAGCTGTTCCGGAGATATCTTCTAACAAACATACATCTAAACATTCGCATTTATAATATTAGTAAGATTTCTTTTTTTTTAAATTCCAGGTTCCCGTTGACACTTTTCCTACTGGTGAGGAAGTTGACACACAATTGCTCAAGAATGTCAAATCAACTTCTGTTAGAAGGTAATTATAGACAAACAAGCTGTTGCTGAGTGTCGGTGGCTCAGTAGTCACGCACTTGACTTGCAATCTGCAGGTCCTGGGTTCGAATCCCGCCATGTACCAATGTGATTTACATATGTACATTTATCCTATGTTCTTACGGTGAAGGAAAACATCGTGAACATATCTGAGAAAGTCAAAGATATGTGTGAAGTCAACCTGCACTTGACCAGCATTGACTATGACCTAGTCACATAACTTAGGATAGGCTCCGAGCACCTCAGTGGGGACTTATAGTGAGCTGATGATGATAGCTGTTGCCTGCAACTCTCCGCAGGATTTAAACTTAGTAGCCTATGTATTCAAAGTTCAGATCCATTCAGCCGTTCTGGAGATATCTTGTGACTTTCAAACATATGCATGTATACGCTGACGCCCGCGGTTTTGTCTGCGCGGAATTTAAAAAAAAACATAATAAGTAGCCTAGGATATAATGTGGAAGAACATATAGACTACTAATTATGGTTTTTAATCCCACGCGGACGGAGTCGCAGGCGACAGCTAGTTTGAATTGTCTAATTTTTTATAGTAGTCCTTTTTTATTGAAATCACTTGTTATTTTTTTTTTATTTTCAGAATAATAACAACATTCATTCTATCCCTCTACAAAGTATACGTGGATTTACATTTCACTTATATGGAGATCAATCCAATCGTGGTGACAGGTGACAGGATTTATCTGCTAGATCTAGCCGCGAAACTGGACCAGACTGCCGACTTTATATGCGCTAAACACTGGGGAGAGGTGACATTCCCACCTCCTTTCGGAAGAGATGCCTACCCCGAAGAGGCTCACATCGCTGACCTGGATGCTAAGAGTGGAGCCAGTTTGAAGGTAATTTTATTGACTACATGCCTCCCTACTCTGTGTGCATTAAAAAAACCTAATAAGTAGTGTATGTGTTCTTCCAGACTATGTTCTATATGTATGACAAATTTCAACAAGATCTGTTGATTTGTTCCGGAGATATCTTGTAACAAACATCCATCTAAACATTCGCATTTATAATATACTAGCTGTCAGCCGTGACTACGTCCGCGTGCAATAAAAAAGAACTTAGTAGTCTATGTGTTCTTCCAGACTATGTTCTATATGTATGACAAATTTTATCTAGATCTGTTGAGTTGGTCCGGAGATACTATCTAACAAACATCCATCTAACCATTCGCATTTATAATATACTAGCTGTCAGCCGTGACTACGTCCGCGTGCAATAAAAAAGAACTTAGTAGTCTATGTGTTCTTCCAGACTATGTTCTATATGTATGACAAATTTCAACAAGATCTGTTGATTTGTTCCGGAGATATCTTCTAACAAACATCCATCTAAACATTCGCATTTATAATATACTAGCTGTCAGCCGTGACTACGTCCGCGTGCAATAAAAAAGAACTTAGTAGTCTATGTGTTCTTCCAGACTATGTTCTATATGTATGACAAATTTCAACAAAATCAGTTGAGTTGGTCCGGAGATAACTTCATACATCCATCCATCTAAACATTCCCATTTATAATATAAGTAAGGTAATTTTATATTTTAAAGGGACCGCGATTTTCTTGCTATAGTTATTTATTTAAATATGTCTCGTTAACTTAAATTTCTCGCTTATAGAGGTTCCTCTCTGAGTTTCTCGCTTATAGAGGTTTCTCACTTATTCAGATTCGACATTAAGAGATATTAAATGCAGGTGTCCAAATTGTAAATAGACTTTGAATTTTTTTTTATTCAAGGCATACGTTAACAAGTAAAGAGGTCACTTAAATTCGCCAAAATAGCGAAGTGACTGCTACCTATAGATACGTATAGACTGAGGAGAGAACGCATAGAAAGACATTTTCAATTCCTATGCATCCTTTTATTTTCTTTGCTGTTTAAAGTACATATAATCAAATATTTTTATAGAAAATTAAATAAATTAAAATTGAGTGTCGGTGGGTTAGGGGTTAAATCACTTGTTCTGGGTTCGAATCCCGCTATGTACCAATGTGTTTTTCCATTTACATATGTACATTTATTCGACGTTCTTTCGATGAAGGAAAACATCGTGATGCTGCACATATCTGAGAAGAAATTCAAAGATATGTGTGGAGTCAACCCGTACTTGGCCAGCGTGGTTGACTATAGCATAGTCACCCCTAACTTAGTGTAGGCTCCGAGCCCCTCAGTGGGGACGTATAGTGAGCTGATGATGATAATAAATGTTTTTAAATTTGCTTAATATGTTACTAAATCAGAATGAATTGTTCTGTTTTTATAGCTGACAGTGCTGAACAAATCCGGTCGCATCTGGACCATGGTGGCTGGAGGGGGCGCGTCTGTCGCGTACAGTGACACTGTATGCGCTCTGGGCGGTGCGGGAGAGCTGGCCAACTACGGCGAGTACTCCGGCGCGCCCACAGAGGCGCAGACCGCGGACTACGCTAGGACAATCTTCAGTCTTATGTGCAGGGAGAAACATCCCGACGGCAAGGTTAGTTTTTAAACTCACTAAAGTAACTCTTACCCGAGTTTCTCGCTTATGAAGGTTCACTCTCCCACTCGAGTTTCTCGCTTATGAAGGTTCACTCTCCCACTCGAGTTTCTCGCTTATGAAGATTCTCGCTCTCAACCGACTTTCTCACTTATAGAGGTTTCTGTCTTATCTGAGTTTCTCGCTTATGGAGGTTCGCTCTAATTTGAGTTTCTCGCTTGTGAAGGTTTTGTCTCTTATCCGAGTTTCTCGCTTATGGAGGTTTCGCTCTCACCCGAGTTTCTCGCTTATAGAGGTTTCTGTCTCATCCGAGTTTCTCGCTTATGGAAGTTCTCACTTTCACCCGAGTTTATTGCTTTATTCGCACGAAGGAGTATCTTTAAATTAGTTTTAATATTTTATTTTCAATTTACGTTGTAGTTATTACTTACTAGCAGCTATCTATTAAAGGGCCAGCTATGACCTAGTCATCTACTTATGGTGGGCTCCGAATCTCAGTGGGGACTGTGAGCTGATGATGATGATGTTATAGTGCCCGTATTGTACCAGGTGCTGATCATCGGCGGTGGTATAGCTAATTTCACGAATGTGGCGGACACCTTCCGCGGCATCATCAGCGCTATTGAGACATACAAGGATGCTCTCCTCCAGTACAATGTCACAATATTTGTGAGAAGAGGAGGTCCTAATTATCAGGAAGGACTCAGGTTAGTTACAGATTTTCAGTTGAGGATTTTAATTTCCTACCCGTTTAAATGACATTTTTTTTTGTTTAACTCATTATTATAGGAAAAAATCTTTATGAAATTTATTGTTAAAAAGCTGAAGCTGACAGGGATATGTTTTATACACAATTTTTAGTCTCAGAAACCTACGATTAATCTTTCTTATATACATAGACAAATGCGCGAAGTGGGTCAACGTCTCCGCATACCTCTATACGTGTTCGGACCAGAAAGCAACATGACGGCGATAGTTGGCCTGGCGCTGGGACATTCACCTATACCTGCAGACCATCAGCTGGACTACGCGCCTAAACAACTGCCCAAACCCAAACCTGTGGTGTGTATAATACAGAGAACTAGCTATCGCCCGCGACTACATCCACAAAGTAAAAAAATAAGTCTATGTGTTTTGCTAGATTATGTTCTACATCTATGCCAAATTTCAGCGAGATCCATGCAATAGTTCTGGAGATAACTTCTAACAAACATCTAAACATTCGCATTTATAATATTTACCGTGGGTTTCTGACACATTTGTCATCTTTGACACAACAGACATAACAAATGTTGGATTCAGAAACCCACGGTAAGTGAAAAAGATTTTTAAACCTACAATAAAATTTACCTAAGGGTTATAATTTTTGAATACGGAGAATTGGATTTGCTTTCACTTTGAAGTGTAGAGTTATGGTCTGTACAGACAGACCAGGGGCATAAAAAATATTTTTTATCGAATTTCTTTTGGTTATTAAATATTTTACAAATTCATCTATTTTTAATTTTTGTTTACAAACTTTAAACTAAAAGTTAAAAATGTGTACATATATTAGAGGAAGTTTGAAAGTAGCGCCAGTGATCGAGAAATTAAGGAGTAAAAGATTAGCGTGGTTTGGACATGTTATGCGGGATTTAATGTGGATGGCTACAAAGGTAGGGGAAGACCAAAAACAGTATGAAAGAGGATATGCGTAAGAAGGGGGTAGACTCGGATATGACGGCTGATAGAGATGTATGGAGGAGTAGTACATACTGTGCCGACCCTCAATAGGGATAAGGGCAGGATGATGATGTTTACAAACTTTAATCTATTGAGTTAGGATCCGTTTTTTTTAGCAAATAAAATTGAGTTATACAGCTTTTCTTGATGTGAACTATAAAAAAATTAGGAAACACAAAGTAAAATTAATTAGAAATTTTCCATCTCAAAATTATACAAAGGTGAAATAACATTGGTATTTTTTTTTTCTCAGCCGGCACCAAAGCTAGATCTACCAGAGTTGACACCAGCCCTGTTAGACCTGGTATGCTCCCAGGCACCCACACGTATGGACCTGGGACAGCCGCTCAGTACAGCAAGGCCGCTCTTCACTGACCGCACTAAAGCCATCATCTGGGGAATGCAGAATAGAGCTATACAGGTAAAAAAAAACTTAATTTGTAGTCTATGTGTTCTTCCAGATGTTCTATAATTATGATATACTAGCTGTCGCCCGCGACTTAGTCCGCGCGGAATTAAAAAGTTGATTAGTAGCATATGTGTTCTTCCAGACTTTGTTCTATATGTGTGACAAATTTCATGGAGGTCCATGCAGCTGTTCTGGAGATATCTTCAAACAAACATACATCTAAACATTCGCATTTATAATATCAGTAAGATGACCTTAAATACAAAAACAATGTGAGGTTTAAAAGATGAGCGCCATCTATTGGTTACGTTATAAAATAAAAATTGTTTTTTTAATTTTAAAGTAAATTAAAAAAAATAACTGTAAAATATAACACTTTTTTAATTGAACAATATTTTGGAGACAATAAAATAAACATTTAAAAAAATATTTTAATATTCAGCAAATAGATGGCGTTATCTTATAAAGAATATCTTTTTTTTATTTATTTAATTTATATTTTTATTACAATCAGGGCATGCTGGATTTCGATTACATTTGCCGTCGCTCGGAGCCATCAGTGGTGGCCATTGTCTACCCCTTCACTGTTGACCACAAGCAGAAATATTACTTTGGAAATAAGGAAGTCTTCATACCAGGTAAGTTTAACCTGGATAAGCAAGGATCCCGTCGCTATTGTTAGGTAGAAAAACGAAAAAGGTTAGCGTTCAAAGGGTTAAAATGAGTTGAACTAACATCATAAGCTCACGTCCCCACTGAGGGGCTCGGAGCCTACCCTAAGTTAAGGGTAATTAAGCCATAGACAACCACGCTGGCGGGTTGACTTCACACATATATTTGAATTTCTTCTCAGATATGTGCAGCATCACGATGTTTTCCTTCACCGTAAGAACATAGGATAAATGTACATATGTAAAACACATTGGTACATGGCGGGATTCGAACCCAGGACCTGCTGACAAGTCAAGTGCTTAACCACTGAGCCACCGACAGTGTCTATTAATATTTGTTTGGGGTAATACAGTTTTTTTGTTTGTTAATCTGTTTGTTTGTTTGTAGTATTCTCTGACATGGATGTAGCGATGCGCAAACATCAAGAAGCAACAGTTTTGGTTACATTTGCATCACTTCGCTCTGCCTACGATAGTACCATACAGGTATGTTTAAACCCTTAACAAACTAGCTGTCGCCTGCAACTCCGTCCGCGCGGAATTAATAAAACTTAACATTTAGGGGGATGAAAAATAGATGTTGTCCGATTGTCAGACCTACTTACAAGATAGTTGCTTACAAAGCTTTTTTTAAATATTATGGGAGTATATAAACTGACCTATAGATATTTTAAAAGGATAAAAAACATAAATTTCTAGTCTTTTCGCTAATATGTTAAGTTAATTGAGAAATATGTAATTTTATTTTCTTTTCTCTCCCAGGCGATGCAACATCCACAAATTAACACAATAGTTATAATAGCTGAAGGTATTCCGGAGAATATGACGAGGAAACTCATCAAAGTGGCTGATCAAAGAGGGGTAAGAGATTTCAATGTGACTGATTATAGATGGCGCTGTTATCAAAATGAAGCTTAAAATTAGTTTTAAATAGCGCCATCTATTGTCAAGACAATAACAACTAAAACTATATAAGAAGGAATAAATAAATTTGTAAATTCTTCGCTATTCCATATTGCGTAAGGATCTAATTTCTTTAACTACGTTAGAAAATATAATGAAACCGATTGAAGCGCCCCCTAGATATATTCTCGCTTGAACTATAATTCAGACCGAACGTAAATAAACATTGACTGAGCTCAAGCTTATGAAGCTATTTTATAAAACTACCCACAAAAGTACTTACGTTTTTAATTATTTTTTTTCAGGTGACTATCATAGGTCCGGCGACCGTGGGTGGCATTAAGCCTGGCTGCTTCAAGATTGGCAACACTGCTGGAATGATAGATAATATTATTGACAGCAAATTGTATCGACCTGGCAGGTAAATCTTACCGCTTCTTCATCAGCTCACTATACGTCCCCACTGAGGGGTTTTGAGCCTACCCTAAGTGATGTGACTAGGTCATAGTCAATGCTGGTCAAGTGCGGGTTGACTTCACACATATCTTTGAATATCTTCTCAGATATGTGCAACATCACGATGTTTTTCTTCACCGTAAGAACATAGGATAAATGTACATATGTAAATCGGAAATCGAAAAATACGTTGGTAGATGGCTGGATTCGAACCCAGGACCTGCAGATTACAAGTCAAGTGATTAACCCACTGAGCCACCGACACTCACAATTAAGCAATGCTGACGCTGATTAAACATATCTTACTAATATTATAAATGGGAATATTTAGATGAATGGATGGATGTTTGTAAGAAGATATCTCCAGAACGGCTGATCAGATCTTGATGAAATTTGTCATACATGTAGAACATAGTCTGGAAGAACACATAGACTACTTATAAAGTTTTTTTTATTACGCGCGGCAATATAAACTCAAAAGTTAGGGAAAAATATGTAACTTTTGAAAAAGACGACTGAAGCGACCTCTAGTTAAGTTACACTATAACGATTTATTTTTTTAATTTTTTCAGCGTGGCATATGTATCCCGGTCTGGTGGCATGAGTAATGAATTGAATAATATCCTCTCCAAGGAAGCTGATGGAGTTTGTGAAGGTGTGGCCATAGGAGGTGACAGATACCCTGGCACCACCTTCCTTGATCACCTTCTCAGGTATGAACATCTTTCTATCATAATGTGAAAAAATTGGTATTTTAAAGGATCTAGTTCATAAAAGATCTATGTGGGTTTTTAAAGTACTTTCTTTGCTCAAAACCCCCACTTTAGTGGATTAAGGTGGGTTTTTAAACTACTTTTCCCCTCATATACCTAACAACATGTATTTAAACAAAAATTTGCAATATTTTTAAGTTTTATGTTATGAATCAGGATATAAAATCACATGATATGTTCGTAATGTTTTTTTTTATATTACAAAATGGCAAACAAGTAAGCGGCTTGAATTCGCTGAAATAGCGAAGCGACCTCTTATAGTAATTACAAATGCGTTCTCTTTAAACGACAGAAGAGGTAACACAGACAAAGGAAATTTCTCTTTCCTATACGTCTCCACGGTAAAAAAAAATAGTTCTATTTTTTTAACATTTTCTAATGTGATCAGGTTCGAAGCGGATCCCAATGTGAAGATGCTGGTGGTGCTGGGTGAAGTGGGAGGTGTCGAGGAGTACCATATCTGCCGTGCCATCCGTGACAAGCTTATCACCAAGCCTATGGTGGCATGGTGTATTGGCACTTGCTCAGGTGAACTATTTTTTTTTATTAGAGATAAAAATGAACTCAAATCTTAGTAATATAAATGCGAATGTTTAGATGGATGTTTATTAGAAGGTATCTCCAGAACTGCTGTATGGATCTGGCTGTAATTTGGTCTAGATATAGAAAACTAGCTGTAGCCCGCGACGCCGTCCGTAGAATGGCGTAGAATTAAAAGCTTAATTAGTAGCCTATGTGTTCTTCCAGACTATGTCTTATATGTATGACAAAATTCAGAGATATCTTCAAACAAACATACATCTAAACATTCACATTTATAATATTAGTAAGATATAAATATAAGGACATTCAAATATTTGTATGTATAATTTAATTCCAGATATGTTTTCATCGGAAGTACAATTCGGACACGCGGGTTCTCTCGCCGGATCAACATTAGAGAAAGCTGCAGCTAAGAACGCGGCGTTGAAATCATTCGGTGTCACCGTACCTGAATCTTTTGATAGTCTGGGCAAAGCGGTGAACCAGGTGTACCAGAAACTGGTTGATCAAGGCAAGATCATCGTGAAAGAGGAGGTGGAACCACCTAAAGTACCTATGGACTACGATTGGGCCAGGGTAAGAGACTAATCGAGTTAATACTACTTTTCAATAAATTTGAGATGGCGTCTTACAAAATGGCGGATAAACATATTTTTGCGTAACTTCTCGACATGGGTGTCAAATGAAAAGGCTTAAATAGGACAGCATTATGAAAAATCCAAAATGGCCGCGATCACAAAATGGCGTACGACATACCTCAATATGGGTGTCAAATAGAAAAACATGATAAAATTAGCACAAAAGCGCCCTCTTTCGGTCCTCAAATTTTCTATATTTATGACAATAATTAAATGTTATTTGTAATTTCAGAAATTGGGCATAATCCGCAAGCCGGCAGCATTCATTAGCACGATATGTGATGAGCGCGGTCAGGAGCTGTCCTACTGCGGTGTACCCATCAGCCAGGTGCTGGAGCGCGGCCTCGGCGTCGGCGGCACTGTCAGCCTGCTCTGGTCAGTATTGACACCATGACACAATGATGCAACATTGATGACCTCACCTTTTCATCACTATCCACGAGCTTGACACAATTTTGCCCCGACAGTGTCATGACTTTACCTCCATCTTTTCATGATATTGCCCCAACCTTGTCATAAATTTGTCATACCTTGCCTCGACCTTGTCATTCCTTGCCTTAACCATGTCATAACTCATGTCTTCACCTTGTCATGTCTCAACTGGGTCAAAACTTTACTCTAACTTTGTCATGATCTTTCATCGACCTTGTCATTCCTTGCGTTCACCTTGTCATAATATTATCTCGTGTTCCAGGTTCCAGCGCGAGCTACCATCCTGGGCGTGCCGGTTCATCGAGCTGGTGCTGATAGTGACAGCAGACCACGGCCCCGCTGTCTCCGGCGCACACAACACGATGGTCACAGCGCGCGCCGGCAAGGATCTCATCTCATCTGTTGTCAGCGGACTTCTTACTATTGTTCGTATATTCTGAATACCATAAAGTTAAATATAAGATGCATTCGCCAAAATGGCGATAGCTGTCAATAGACAATTTCAAATGTGCGAACAGCTGAAATCGCTGAAATAGCAAAGTGACCGTTGCCCATAAGCAATTGCATATGCGTTACCTAACTTTATCAGAGGGGATACACTGAAAGAGAATAGTTTTCCTTTCCCATGCATCCTAATCTGGAAAATCCACTTCCACTTCCCATCTTAATAAGAACATGAAGAGAAGGTGGTAAGGGGAAGACTAAAATTAGGCTTCCGGAACGCACACTCATCAGACCGTATGGAACCGGGCAATTCCTGCGACGATGTTAAAGTGGGCTCTACCACTGTTTCTATGTGTCCCCTCCTCTGTCAGATTAGTAGATTTGTGGAAAAGAAGTGTCCCTTTCTCTTCCTAATTTGTATTGGAAGGGAAAGACTAAACTTAGGTTTGTTGTAGTTGGAATTTATTCCATTTGAGGTGTGCCTTCTATGTTTTTTGACCATGTCTATAATATTGCCATGTCTTCAGGGTGACAGGTTCGGAGGAGCATTGGATCGTGCTGCAGCAGACTTCTGTGCGGCATACGACAAGGGTCAGCATCCCCAGGAGTTTGTTAACGAGAAACGTGCTAAGGGTGAACTGATTATGGGTATTGGACACAGGTGAATAAGTTTTTATACATCTTAATGGATGTATGGATGGATGTTAGAAGGTATCTCCAGAACGGCTGTATGGATTTCGATGAAATTTCGCACGGATGTAGAAAATAGTCTGGAAGGACAGTTATGTATAGATTAGAGATAAATTTACTTAAAATTAAGTTAAAAATCTTTTTATACTTTCTAATATGGATAAGCGAAAGTCTTACGAACTGTGACATATCCTAAGTTAATTTTTTATTAAAAACTAGTTGTGGCCGACGACTTCGTCCGTGCGGAATTTAAAAAATCTTAGAATCCTATGTGTTCTTCCAGACTATGTTTTATATGTATGTTCAGCTGTTCTAGATATATCTTAAAACAAACACACATCCATCTAAACCAGTGGTTCCCAAACTTATTTTGTCTACTGCCCACTTTGAGAATAAATATTTTTTTACCGCCCCCATATTTTCACATATTTAAAAAGCACTATAACTTCAAATTAAATTAATTAATTATTGTGACTTATATATGTATATTAACGGAGAATTGTAAAGGAAACTTTTACTATAACCCGCAACTTGAGAACTGCAGCACCCACAAGGGGGCGTTATCGCACACTTTGGGAAAGACTGATCTAAACTTTCGCATTTATAATATTAGCAAGATAATACAGCCAACTACTAATTTAACTAATTGACATTTGCTTCTTTATCTTCTATTTTTTTCTTATTAAATAGATTTTTTTAATATTTCCAGGGTGAAATCAATAAACAATCCAGATTCTCGTGTGCGTGAACTAAAAGCGTATGTAACATCTCGATGGCCGGCGTGGCCTGTGACGCGGTATGCTCTAGACGTGGAGGCGATCACAACACGGAAGAAGCCCAACCTTATCCTGAATGTGGATGGTATTGTTGCTGCAGCAATGGTGGACCTCTTCAGACATTGTCAGCTGTTCACACAGTTAGTAACCCAAATTAATAAAAACCTAATAAGTAGTCAATGTGTTCTTCAAGACTATGTTCTATATGTATGACAAATTTCATCAAAATCAGTTGAGTTGGTCCGGAGATACCTTCATACAAACATACATCTAAACATTCGCATTTTTAATATTAGTAGGAGTAGTAAAATAATATTTTTTATTTAATTTAGACTAGATGCATCATATCCTAGTCAATCTGATGTCTAACGGTAGCTTAGAAGTCATATCTGCAGGTCCTGGGTTCGAATCCCAGCATGTACCAAATATGTACATTTATCCTATATTCTTACGGTGAAGAAAATTGTGATGCTGCACATATCTGAGAACGTCAAAAATATGAGTAAAGTGCACTGGACCAGCATTCACTATGACCTAACTAACTTAGGGTAGGTTAGACCCTCAGTGGAGACTGTGAGCTGATGATGATGATTATTTTCAGGGAGGAAGGTAACAACTACATCCAGATGGGCGCTATCAATGCTCTGTTCGTGTTGGGTCGCACCATCGGCCTGGTGGGACATTATCTCGATCAGAAGAGGATGAAGCAACCACTGTACCGTCACCCCTGGGATGACATCACATACATGGCACCCAACAACTAGATCTGTAAACTTATTGTGTTGGCTTAATATAATATTTATTTAATAATCTGGGACGGTGAGGAAAAGAAAATCTAGATGAAAACAAGGATATTTGACCCGTTGAGCTGTTTTTGTGGTATATAGGACTAGGGCCTAATTTTAGTCCTTTTTCTTATAAAGATCGGAAGTGAAAGTGGATTTTCCGAACGAGGATGCATAGGAAGGGGAAATATTCTCTTTCTGTGCCTCTCCTCCGTGTATTAAAGGTAGGCAACGCATATACAATTGCGTATGTCTATGGGCAACGGTCACTTCGCTGTTTCAGCGATTTCAGGTGACCGCTCGTTTGCCAACTTATGATATAAAAAAATGACAGAAAATATCACAAAATCTAAATAGCTATATTAAAAAATTAGCTACGCTACTAAAAACATCTTGTTATACTTTCACTGTTAGAGGATGCTAGTGTCATAATTTAGTTTGACTAATGCCCATTGGGTCAGATATCCTTGTCGGTCAACATACAGCAACAGTCCGACAAGGATCTTGTGAATATTTCTAATTATGACAATATTCATAAATTTTCGTCCGTGTATGGCGGATTTAAAAACGCAGATCGCTTGAATCAGTTTGTGCATAGCCTTGACAGTTATTTAATTATAATAATTTATTTAAAACGAATGAACTTAAAATTTATTTTTGCTATGTCATTTACCGACAAGTTAGTTCCGACATAAATTTTAAAAATATTTTTTTTTTGTCTTATAATTGTCATAATGGTTGTTAACACTATGTCATAATTATTATTTTTAAAAAGCAATAATAAAAACAACGAAATTAGATCCATTTTGTTTATGATCCGTCCAATTTCGCTGTTGAAATTTGAAAAGCCAACACAAAAGTTTTTTTTTCCTTTAAACTAGATGGCGCTAATTTATATAAATAATATATTTTTAAACTAACAATCATTTAATTAAATAAATAGAAAAGCACAATAATATAAAAATGAGCGCCATCTGTCGGTTAAGTTCGTGTAAGTAGGAAATCATATAACTTGGGGAACAAGTCTTTGAATAACTTCGGCTTAGCTTAAGTTATCAAGTTGGATTTACAGCCGTTAAGAAAACTAAAAAAAAAACATCCAAGAAATGTCATCTTTATTGTATTTCTAGAAAATGTTTTAAAAAGTACAATTTTTTAATATCCCAAAGTAACATTTTAAAATTAACTATTTTTTTAAATTATCTAATCGTCAGTCTTTTTTTAATGTCATTTTGTATTGAAAAAAACGACAGCGAGGAAATTTGCCTCCGTTTTATGCCTCATTTTTATGCCCCAAATTATTATTTCTCTATGACATATTTCTAGAAGTACATATATATAAAATGGCTGTCCGTCAACATGTTACAATGTCACAATATTTTTTTTATATATATATATTTTATACATAGTTTAATTAAGCGACGGCATTTGTAACATTGAATAAAAATAGAATAATTAATGGTCAAATTGATATGAAAATAATCTTATTATTAAATAAACGACAAAATTATCTGACCCGTCTCTATGTCGGTAACAGACATAAAATATCTAATAGACATGGATAGTGACAAGGATCTTGTGACATTCCGACTTATGTCGGGTCAGATAACTTTGTCGGTTTGTATTTTATTCGAATATTTAAATGTTTGACTAACCCCGTTTAAAAATAGTCTAAAATAATAACGAAATAGTTACTAATATTTATAAAAATTAAATCTATTTTGAAATGATCAAATCTGGATAAGCAAGAGTATAAAATACCTGGAAATTTCTCTTCCTTATACAGATTTCTCCTTTAGTCAGCTTTGAATGGTTTTTAAAATGAAAATTAAATAAAAAAAATAAACAATTATATTGTTAAAGTTTATATCTTTTAATAAGAAATATATATTATATATAACACAATAGTAAATAATAGATAAATAGGAAAAGCACTTTAGATTTCGTATTAAAAGATTAATTACAAAAAAATGTTTAATTATAGAAGTGAAATGACTATTTCTGTCTACACCAAAATTAGAGCTTGAAGATATATAAAATTCACTTTTAGGTAAAAATCGAATGTTTAAGTTACTTCCTATATATTTTTATTTTATATTGCGCTGACCTCTATAAATGGATAGGTGATTGCGTTGCTTTGCTTTGTTTTGTTCCGATTTAAACTCGCCTTTTGATGTCACGTGATTCTATCTTTATTATTAGTTTGAATTCACATTACTGCAAACAGTTACCGTCAGCGTTAAAATGACGAACATCAAGGCACAGAATACTACGTCTTATAGCCGGTCCATTTATAGAGGTATTAATATCAAAAACTGATAAAATTATATATTTTTTTGTTGCATGTTACTTCTTATTCTCTTATCAGTTAAAATTCCATTGTTCTCTATAAAAGATGGACAGATCGTTTTTATATTACTTTTGCTTAGTACCAACAAAACGCTAGTTCAAATTACTGTCAGTTTTTTTATCTGTATTTTTGTTCGAATTTTAAAAGGTTAGCGCCAATATGGCGGAAATCATATAGGCACAAAATCAATGGCTTATAACCTGTCCAGTCGAATAGAGGTTAGTGTTTTGTTATTATTTTAGGTTAGTTTTTAATTTGATTTACCGAAAGTTATGTAATAAACATGTTTTGTTACATGCTTCGGTAGTCAAAACGCGCGGGTTTGTGACGTCACTGGGGCGGGTTATTAATTTGTTAAGATACATTCTGCTTAATCTCTTATTTATTTGGTGTATTTGTGAAAATGGTTGGTATTAATTGTAAATATTGAAAATTTGTCAACTTATTTGAAATATATTTTTTTTATTTACTGCGAATTTATTTTTCGTTTTATTATTGTCTATAAGACGGCGTCTGTAGGAACTTTTTTGAAAGAAAAACACATAAATGATTATTAAACTTTGTTTATTCACCTAACAGTATGCATCTGTCGTATATCGCAGCAAACGGAGCGGTTGCAATAATCCAAATTAAAAAAAATTGACACGAAATATGCCCCTTTTTATCTTATGTAGAAAGAAAGAAACGACATGTTTCTAATACAACAGTAGTAACAATACTGTTACTTCATTCCGGACAATACATAGAAGTTTTCCAAAACAAACGAATGTACAATCAGGGCATTTCGCGGTGTTCCACTTTCAAAAATTGCCTTTCTTACAACGAGTCAAACTCTATCCCTTATAAAATAACCAATTAGGGAATAGTGAGTAGCAATAAACAACTGCACAAATAGTAAATAGCAATTAGTGTACCACTGACAGTACTTTTATTATTATAGGCATATTTAAAAGCTGCGTCTTAATGTTGGAATACCGCCATTTTCCCTGACTGTACTTCAGAATGTCAAACCGCTCATCGCTCCTAAAATTTGCGACAATCACTTAAACAAAATAATATATTTTCTAACATAATGAGTTCATATAAAATCAGACCGAAGGAAAGAAAGTTTAAAATAAACCGAAAAAATAAAAAACTATAAAATTGCCTAAAAAAATTTACACATGCTCCCGACCTAAAAGGGGCAAATTCAAGCTAATGTAACAATTTTAATCATTCTATTCGTAAAAAATAAAAAAAATATAAACAAAATTCGTAAAAATCCAAAAAAACATCTAAAAAAAGAGTTAAAAAGTTCAATATCTTTCCTTCGGTCAAATATCAAATAGAAAATGTGTTGCGAATAATATTATTGCAAATTAAAACTTAATTAACCTATGAGTAGACAACAATTAACATATAAAAGTATAATAAATTACATTTTACAATGAAAATTTGGTACAAAACATCCAATTAGGATAAATTAATTGCTATACATTGAAAACATATTACATACAGGGTGGGTCGTGGCCGGAGTTTTCTAAACATTTTAAATAGCACAATTCAAACAATTTTACATTTAAAATTACAAAAAAAAAAATCGATTATTTTTCATGTTTCCTAATTAAAAAAAAAGAAATTTGTTAAATTATCATCTTTTGTTCCGCTTTAAATGATTTTTCGTACTTTCCAGAATATTTAATAACAGAATCCTTCTAGATGTGATTTTTACTAAAATATTTTCTAAAAAAAAAAATTGTCTTTTGAATTGAAAAATAATGATTTTCTGGTTTAAAACTTAAATTATAATCTCTGATTTAAACTTAAATTCATTTAACTATGATATTTTTAACTTGATTTTTTTGCAAACTTAACTAGAAAAATCAACACTAAAAACCCAAATGTACACATTTTTAGGTTATGTAAATTTGATTTCAAATAACTTTAACATATAAATATATAATCCATAGATTCAGTGTTAGGAGTTTAACAAGAATGAGGAAATTTACCCCAAAAGACTTTTGGGGCAAATTTCCCCAGAGTTTTTATGCCTCACTTTTATACTTCCGATTCATCTATAGTTCATATATCTATGTTTAAATATTTAAATAAACATTTTGTTTAGTTTACATAAGTTTATAGTTCATTTAATTATCGTCAAATTAAAATTGTCAAATAATTTTTTTCGTCAAAATTTCAGATTTAGAATCATTTTGAATGAACACGATTTATAGTCTACATGCAAAAAAAATATTACTTACATGACTTCCAAACAAAAGTCAAAAGATTGTAAACAATTACTTTAGGGAACGTACACATACTACGTGAACCGTTTAGGGAAGGGGGGAGCGGAGTCTTTAATATACTACGGTCAGTCACAGGAGCGGGGGGATGGCTCAGATTTTAGTCACATAGTCGTTACATGTTTTTTTTTCATAATACATAATTCACTAGTAATTTAAGAATGCATGCAGTCTTATGCTATAAAGAAGAGTATGAACAAAATTATTTTTTCAAATTTTACCTGTGAAATGATTAAAAATCATAATTATGAATTACTACGTAAATACTAAAGGGAGGGGGGCCTTGGCATGTACTACGAGTGGTCTCCGAGGGGTGGGAGGGATCGAAAAAACTAACCAAAATAGGTCACGTAGTATGGGTATGTTCCCTTACGCTGAAATTCATAATTTACAAAATATTTCCGACACATAAAAAAAATCTAACAATTATTAGCTACACTAACATACAATATCACTTCGCTTTTCTCACAATTCTTAACAAATTTCCTAAATATGAAACAGCGTACAATCCGCCATGTTTGAAATATGACGTTTCCTCGTTTACAACACTTTGACATTCATTTGACATTTAAATTTTTGACATTTCTATGTTAAAATTAACTTTAAAAAAAACTAAAAACTATCAGATTATGAACGTCAGAGGAACAAATGGATATTCAATATAAATATATTTTCTCTTACTAATATCTAAAGCGACGATTTTCATATAAAAAATTATATTAAATTAAAAAAAAAAATATGACGTTATCTAAAAAATTATTTGCCTAAATGCCTATAATATTATATATATTTTTTTGATTATATTAAAATATCATCTTTTTTTTTAAAGATATTGGAATTACATATTTTTTTATACATTTACTTAATTAATATATTTTATTTTACAATTTAACTTAAATTAACATCAGTCATAGGACGTGATTCTTACAAATATATGATTTAACTATAATTATCATGAAAATAATATAATTAAATAAAAAAAAAATTGTCAAAAAAAAAATTTACATAACTTAAATTTTTCTCCAAAAAAAAAATCCGCAAAATTTCAAATAAAAACATATTAAAAGATAAAATAAAGAAATGAGAAATTATTCTTATATATTTTAGTATAGACATGTCTATTTTTAATAAGTCTATGGTAAAAAAAACTTTGATAAATTACTTTTCTATTGAATTTGACAACAAAAAATGTCAAAAAAAAAAAAATTTTTTTAACAATTTTTTTTTTATTTACTTAAAATAAAGTATATTAAATTCAATATATAGGTATCCTACTTACTTATATAATATATTTTGGTCTGTTACATTATATACATTAGGAAGTTACAATAGCGAGATAGCTTCACCGCTGGCGTTTAGGACCTCACTTATAAATAAGAAAAAAAAAAACATTTTTTTTTTAATTTTCACCACAAAATAAGACACGTACAAGTTTTTAATTTAATAAATTTATCAAATAACGGTCTAATTTAATCCAAAAAAAAAATCTGACCCGGTCATAGAATAGTCTGAAAAAGATTTTATGACAATTTTTTGAAATTCACCGAACTAGTGTTACCAGTAAACAAAAAAAAAACTTAATTTCATTAAATTATTCATACTTTCTTGAGACATTTTAATAAACTGATATAAAAACGGCTAAAACACTGATGTATATTAGTCAGGTGGCACTGACTAATTTCTAACCCATCGGAAGCCCTTTATCAGGATGAGTGGTACTGGTATTATTTCGTGGACGTGACCACCAGCTCATTTGTCACAGCGAACATGTCAGTGTTTAGCCGTTTTCTTACAAGTTTTTATTATTTTATTTTAATTCATCAATTTTCAACTAATGTCTTCATTTTAATTAAAATGGTTTGATGAAAATGGCAACAATAAATAATGCTCAGGCTCTTTCATTGGTTTATATCCATTATAAATGGATTGGCTATATCAGTGGTTCCCAAACTTATTTTGTCTACTGCCCACTTTGAGAATAAATATTTTTTTAGCGCCCCCCATATTTTCACATATTTAAAAACCACTATAATTTCAAATTAAATTAATGAATTATTGTGACATATATATGTATATTAACGGAGAATTGTAAAGGAAACTTTTACTATAACCCGCAACTTGAGACCTGCAGCAACCACAAGGGGGCGTTATCGCACACGCGGGAAACACTGGTCTAGACTATAGTATTTTGTGCCATGATGTTCGCATTTTTTGGTCAGTTTGTATCTGTGTTGTTCTAACCAATAATATAGATAGAATTAACAGTCACGTAACATCAAAAGGCACATTTAAATCTAAATAAAGCAAAAGTTGTCATTTCCAAACAGAAGATTTTTAACAATGGTAGAGCGAGCTTTAACATGTTCGCACGAATTGTCCCGGCTCGCCCGGTGAAATACCACGACCATACAGAAGACACGACTCAAGTGGAAGCAATTCCAACTACAGTCTGATGAGTGTGCATCCCGGAGGACTAATTTACTCCTCTTTCCCTTCCCACCCTTTTTCTTATAAGGATGGGAAGTGGAAGTGGACTTACCGGATGAGAGGATGCATGGAAAGTGAAAATATCTTCTTTCTGTGCATCCTCTCCTCCGTCGATTAAAAGTAGGCAACGCATATGCAATTGCGTATGTCTATGGGCAACCGTCACTTTGCTATTTCAGCGATTACAGGTGACCGCTCGCACGTTTGTCATCTTATGATATAAAAAAAAGAAACCATGACATGACATATGACAAGGCAGCTACAGACATAAATCATGACATTTAGTTTAATTTATAACCGGGTCAGATATCCTTGTCGGTCTCAGTTGTCGTCGTCCCTGCGTCGCGCCGCGACTATAGTAAGATCGGGGCGAGTGCGCATGAGGGCGGAGGGCGAGGGCGAAGCACCCGATGCGGAGGCTTCCCGTAGCGATTCTATTGACGCTACACGGATTGACGGCCATTTACCACCTGGAAAACAAAGTAAAAACTGTTATTCTAGCAATTTCAAAACACCGCCATCTTTAATCAATGTAAATAATGTTAGACAGTTTTTATCGTGTAAAATGGCGGTATAAAAACTTCTACTTAAATCCTAGATCTTTTTATAGACATTTTGTTATACTTACAAGCAAAGCAAGCAATTATTAGTAAAGTATTAGCTCTTGAAACATAAAACTCAATCCTAGTTCAAGAGCCAATGCTCCAAAATTATATAGAGTTACAATTAAGCATATATTCTTTTTTTATTTTTTTTTATTATAAGATGGCAAACGAGGGAGCGACCACCTGAAATCGCTGAAATAGCGAAGTGACCGTTGCCCATAGACATACGCAATTGCATATGCGTTGCCTACTTTTAATCCACAGAGAAGATGCACAGAAAGAAAATATTTTTCCTTTCCATGCATCCTCTCAAACAAAATTAGTTTATATACAGTTTAGTCAAGATGTATACTTACTGGAGGCAGCCTGTGTATACTGGCACTTATCATGAGCGGTCGCGGGTCCGCCCTCTTCATCTGTCACGTTGCCCAGCGATTTTTTACTTTGCTACAAACAATATATATTAATATTATAAAAAGTATTTGTTTGTTTGTCTTGTATAGAAAGTACTGAACTGAAATAAAAGTAACTATACTAGCTGTCGTCCGCGAAAAACACATAGTAGTCTATGTGTTCTTCCAGACTATGTTCTATATGAATGACTTTGAAATCCATTCAGCCGTTCTAGAGATATCTTCAAACATACATCCATCTAAATATTCGCATTTATAATATTAGTAAACTATTTTTTTTATTTAGTGTGAATGGGCGACTGTACTCCTATATAAAATGCTAACTTTTGCTCGGAATTGCACCAATTTAAAAAAAGGCGGTTCAGCCATATTTTATAGTAGGGTAAATGTATAATTTGTTGTACAAAATGTATAATTTGTTGTACAAAATGTATAACTTATTGTACAAAATGTATAATTTATTGTACAAAATGTATAACTTATTGTACAAAATGTACAATTTATTGTACAAAATGTATAACTTATTGTACAAAATGTATAACTTATTGTACAAAATGTATAACTTATTGTAGAAAATGTATAAGTTATTGTACAAAATGTATAACTTATTGTACAAAATGTATAATGTATTGTACAAAATGTATAATGTATTGTACAAAATGTATAATGTATTGTACAAAATGTATAAGTAATTGTACAAAATGTATAATTTATTGTACAAAATGTATAATTTGTTGTACAAAATGTATAATTTATTGTAGAAAATGTATAAGTTGTTGTACAAAATGTATAATTTGTTGTACAAAATGTATAATTTGTTGTACAAAATGTATAATGTATTGTACAAAATGTATAACTTATTGTACAAAATGTATAATGTATTGTACAAAATGTATAACTTATTGTACAAAATGTATATTGTATTGCACAAAATGTATATTGTATTGTACAAAATGTATAACTTATTGTACAAAATGTATAACTTATTGTACAAAATGTATAATTTGTTGTACAAAATGTATAATTTATTGTAGAAAATGTATAATTTGTTGTACAAAATGTATAACTTATTGTACAAAATGTATAATTTATTGTACAAAATGTATAATGTATTGTACAAAATGTATATTGTATTGTACAAAATGTATATTGTATTGTACAAAATGTATAAGTTATTGTACAAAATGTATAACTTATTGTACAAAATGTATAACTTTTTGTACAAAATGTATAAATTATTGTACAAAATGTATAATGTATTGTACAAAATGTATAACTTATTGTACAAAATGTATAACTTATTGTACAAAATGTATAACTTATTGTACAAAATGTATAACTTATTGTACAAAATGTATAATTTATTGTAGAAAATGTATAAGTTGTTGTACAAAATGTATAACTTATTGTACAAAATGTATAACTTTTTGTACAAAATGTATAATTTATTGTAGAAAATGTATAATTTGTTGTACAAAATGTATAACTTATTGTACAAAATGTATAACTTATTGTACAAAATGTATAACTTATTGTACAAAATGTATAATTTGTTGTACAAAATGTATAATTTATTGTAGAAAATGTATAAGTTGTTGTACAAAATGTATAATTTA